CCGTCGCGCCCTGTGCATACTGCAGAGCCGCCGGATGGGAGATGTCTTTGATCTGATTCTCGCGGCCCGATGTTGTCTTGGTTCTGGCCTCGTTTTCTCAAGTGCGCGTGACCAGTGCTTGCGTTTGTGCCGTCGTAGCGAACAGACACCGTGGTGTGTGCTGCTGCTGGTCGGGTGTTGCTAGAAGTACTTCTGGCCCAAAATACCCACAGGATTCTCGAGGTGGCCCAGACGGTCTCAAGGGCACCCCTCACGAGGCCTAGAGGAGCCCAGGGGCTCCAACATGGAGCGAAAAGCTGGGGGCACCTTGGGCCAGGGACACTTCTAGCAACACCCGATCTGGGGAAGTTGGCCGCAGCCACTTCGCGCACGCAGAGGTCGCAGCTCCTACCTGGCGAGCCGGGTGCGCTGTCCACCGCGCGCCCTCTCTCTCTCTCTCTTTGGGCCGCGCTCCGGCCCTGCCGCTGGCCAGGCGTTCCTGACGTTTGCGGACTGCACCTGGATTCCGAAGGACGGCGGCCTAGTGTGCTGGCCTCTGGCCAGTGCCTCCGATCCGGGACGCTCCGGATGATGATGGTGATGATGATGATGATGATGATGATGATGATGATGATGATGATGATGATGATGATGTAGAAGAAGAAAAATATTAATATGATGATGATGTTGATGATGATGCTGCTGCTGCTGCTGATGATGATACTGAAGATGATGATGATGGTGATGATGATGATAATGATGATGGTGAGAATGATGATGGTGTTGATGATGCTGATGATGCTGCTGCTACTCATGATGACGCTGATGATGATGATGCTGCTGATGCTGCTGCTGCTGATGATGATGATGGTGCTGCTGCTGATGATGATGATGATGACGATACTGGTGCCGGTGCTGATGCTTATGCTGATGCTGCTGCTGATGATGATGATGCAGATGATGATGCAGATGATGATGATGATGATGATGATGATGATGATGATGATGATGATGATGATGATGATGATGATGATGACGATGACGATGACGATGACGATGATGATGATGATGATGATGATGATGATGATGATGATGATGATGATGTTGTTGATGTTGTTGATGATGATGATGATGATGATGATGATGATGATGATGATGATGTTGGTGGTGGTGGTGATGATGATGGTGTTTATGATTATTATGATGATGTTTATCACGGTAATGGTCAAGGATTCCGAAGGATGGCGGCCTATTTCAGTTGTTCTCGGGGGTGGACAGGCCCCCAACGCGACACGTCCATTGGTGAATTGTCCGTTTTCGGTTCTCGATGGGGCGCTGCGGCCGTCATTTTCCAGGCCTGCGACCGCCAGGTTTGGGCCCGAGGTCAGCAGCAATCGTGAAGCCAGCAGTGCAGAATGGGACGTGCAAACGACCAGGTTGGATCAGGCGATCGCAAACATGGATCAAGGGGGCGTGGATTAGCGACGGGTCCCGTTGATCGAGGCGGCACGGGCCGCCTTTTTGGGGGGGCACCTCCCTCGATCCATGGATTTGGCGACCACGCGCCAAATCCATGGATCGCTGATCCGTGTTTGCGCGCCCCGGGCGGAGTGCGATCCGTCCTTCTGCGGCTGCCGCTGCTTGCGGCTGCTGCTCCTCAGCTATGCGCGCGGAGCAGACCTTCGGGCGGGTGAGGAGCTCTCGGGGGCCAGCTGCCCAGTCCCCCCAGCGCCGCGCGCATCGCACTCCACGCTGGAGGGTTTCTCCCAAGGGCTTAGGCGATCCGCTCCTCCTTCTCCTCCTCCTCCTCCTCCTCCTCCTCCTCCTCCTCCTCCTCCTCCTCCTCCTCCCTCCTCTTCCTCTTCCATCTCCTCCTCCTTCTCTTCCATCTCCTCCCCCCCCTCCTGCACCTCCTTCTCCTCCTCCTCCTCCTCGGGTCGCCTACGGCCCCGGGAGAAACCTTGCACTCCACGCTCCCTGCCCAGAAAGTGGTGGGGTCTTCATTTCTTTCGTGTCCTCTTCTTCGTTTTTTTGTTACCTTTCTTCAGCCCCCTCCTCCGACTGCTCATCCTTCATCTCCCCGTCACCTTATTCCCACTGATTTTGTGTTTGTCCTTCCCAGTTATTTCTTCATTCCTAGTTAGTTTATGCTCCCACTCTGGCATCTAGCGGGCCGAGCTCAATCGTATCCAGGCCCTTCCATAGGACCGATGACAAGTGACACAACGACGACGTATTGTTCTCGTCGACATGGACGTTCTGTCATTGACGCTGCCGCTCGCGCCTCACCGCCGATACATTCGTTTGTTGTTTCCCGCCCTCTCTCTCTATAGATATTCATAGATATGTACAAACAAATACATAGCACCCCGCAGTTGCGGATAAGAGTGAGGGGGACGGTGGTGTCGTCGGAAGTCTGCGAGTCTCTGAAGAAGCGCACCACGGGCGCCGAGTTTTTAACACACTGCGCAACGAGGTCACCGCAGGCACCGCAGTTTCGTCAAATGATTCTGGGTGGGTGGGTCGCGTGGTTGGTCGCGTGGTTGGTCGCAGGGTGGATCGCGGCGTACATCGCGGGCGGGTCGTGGGCGAGGACGGCGACAACAACCACGCACCGACGCCGCAAGAACAACGCAGCCACAATCCGCACGGCGGAACCCCTCTTTCAGTCATGTGAATGACCGTGCGGCCCCCTCACTCTGACACACATAGTTATACATCTATATGTCCGCCAGCGTGGACCCCAAACAGTCTTGTAACCTAAGCGGTGCAGTCTAGGTGGCGCAGTCCATGTGGTGCACCCTATGTGGTGCATAGCAGTGCAAACTAATGCAACTGAATGCAAAGGAATGCAGAGCAGTGACGGCAACGCAAAGCGCAGCAATGCAAAGTAAAGTAACGCCGTACAAACAATGCAAAGCAAAGGAAACCAATGCCCAGCAATGCAACTAAGGGCAAGGCAATGCAAACCATTGCAATCGAAGACAAGGCACCGCCAAACAATGCAACACAATGCACAGCAAAGGAAATACATGCAATGCAAAGCAGTGCAAGGCAATGTAACGCAACGCAACCCAATATGACTCAGTGAAAACAATGCTAAGCAATGCCACGCAATGTCAATACATGCGAATCAATTCAAAGCAACGCAGTGCATAGCAACGGAACGCCAAACTATGCAAAGCAATGCAACGCAATGCAAAGCAACGCAAAGCAACGCCAAGCAGTGCAAAGCAATGCGTTGCAAAGCAATGTAAAGCAATGCAGAGCGATGCAGAGCAAGGCAAAGCAATGCAAAACAATGCCACGCAATGCACAGCAACGCAAATCAATGCCGAGCCACGCAAAGCAATGCAAAGCAACGCAACTTAAATTCAAGCAGTGCCGAGCAATGCAAAGCAAAGGCAATGCGAAACGATGCAGAGCAACGCGAGGCAACGCAACGCAATGCCAAGCAATGCAAAGCAATTCCGAGCAATGCCAAAGCAATGCGACGCAATGCAGAGCAGTGCGAATCGGGTGGCGACGAGGTGGCGTACGTTATGGGAGGGAGGGTGGGAATGGGCGGGGCCCGCTGACTCGTTCGATCCGGCTAGGTAGAATCCCACTCCTGCTCCCGGTGCTACCCCGACCCCCACCCTGAGAGTGACCTCCCGTGCGCACTTCTGATCGAGACGCCGATTTGGCGAACCGCCGACACCCCCCGCCTTGTGGGAATGCCTATGTGGCCAAACGTTGGTCCAGAGTCTTGCCAGACTGCTGGACTACGTGTCCCCCGAGCCGTTTTGGAAAACCTTGGGGGAACATTTGTGGGAGAAAAGGGAGGAGGAGGAGGAGGGGGGGGGGAGGAGGAGGAGGGAGGAGGAGGAGGAGGGAGGAGGAGGAGGAGGAGGAGAGGAGGAGGAGGAGGAGGAGGAGGAGGAGGAGGAGGCCTCTTGGGGCCTCCTGGGGGCACCTTGGGCGCTTCTGAGGGCTTCTTAGGGGTTCTTCGGGGCCCCTTGGGGGCCTCTTGCGGACCTCCGGGGGGTTCTTGGAGGCCACTTTGGGGGCCTCTTGGCCCTCGGAGCTTCTCTTCCGGGCCCATCTGGGCCGTCGTGGGAGCCGCACTCGGCGCTTTAAGGCCCGTCTTGGAGGTCCGTTGGGCCGTCTTGAGGCCCTCCTGGGGTCGTCTTGTGGGCCTCGCGGACTGTCTGGGGGTCCTCTCGGGGGCCCCTTCGGCCGTCATGGGGCTATCTTGGAGATGGCGAAAACGCGAAAGCTATTGATTTGTTTTGCTCCTCGCGGCCTTCTTGGAGCCATCTTGGGCCGACTTGGAGGCCATCTTCCCTCTCTTGCGGCCATCGTGGCTGTCTTTGGGTGACCACGTTGGAGGCCATCTTTGGCATCTTGGAGGCGTCTTGGGACGGCCTTGGGCGAAAGAACCGCTGGGAGCCTCACTTTCCCGTGGGCCGGCGGGTCCAGCCGAAGGCCACTGGGGACCCTCGGATACAACATGTTCAAAACAGGAAAAACACTCGGCACGCCACGTGGTCGTTTTCTCATTCATTGTTTTGCCGATCGGCGCGGGCCCTCGCACCCCCCCTCTCCCCCCCCCATGGGGTAGATCTTGGCTGTTTTTGGCGCCTGTTTCGAGCAGGTGGAGTCTCCCCCATAGGGCGCACTGTTGCAAACAGTCGCGCTAAGCAGAGGTCTGGTCCCCCCCTCTCCTTCCGCCCAATGTCGGAACGCCGAATAAGAAAGCGCTCACCAAGCACCCCTGCGATAAAAAGGCAGCGGCGGGTGGTGTTCGCACCGTGCTTGGCTTGTGGGCGCGAGGCGCAGCGGGAGCATGGTCGGGAGTGCCGCGGCGTTCTGGGATCTGGGCCCCTTGGGGTCTCTTGGGGAAGGGCCTTCTGGGGGTCTCCATGGGGACCTCTTTTGGAGATTGGGGGGCTTCTTGCGGCCCTCTCGGGGGCTTCTTGGAGGCCTTTCGGGAGTCTCTCTGGGGCTTCTTGGTTCATGCGTCTCATCGTCGCCGTCCTCTTCCCCCCTCCACCTCCTCCTCCTCTTCTTCCTCCTCCTCCTCTTCTTCCTCCTCCTCCTCCTCCTCCTCCTCGGCCTTCTCCTGCTCCTGCTCCTCCTCCTCCTCCTCCTCATCCTCCTCCTCCTCTGCTTCCTCCTCCTCCTCCTCCTCCTCCTCCTCCTCTTCCTCCTCCTCCTCCTCCTCCTCCTCCCTCCCCCCCGCTCCTACCGCAGCCAGTTGGCTCAAGGCAAGCCCTGCCCGCTTCGCGTGCGTTCCATCCGCTCGGCCCGAGGGCGCGAAGACATGGCCATGCGTGGCGCGTTGCGAATCTCCCAGCGCCTCGGCATGCGCATCGAGACGCCGGAGTTCACGAAGAGCCGTTTCGCGCGGCGCTGGAACATGATGGACGAGGACCGCGTGAAGTGGTACAACTGGAACCTCTCCTGCATTGTGCTCACCTCGGTGCCGCTCCTATGGATGTACACGGTGAAGTACCAGACCTGCGAGGAGGCGTTGGGGGTGGACACAAATCAGGGGTGGGCTGGAGAGGGACGGCTCCCTCAGATCCCGGCGACGACGACTGACGAAGTAATCCGCACCCTCATAGCGCATCGGCAACAATTGAAACAGAAAGTGCGCACATGTGCGGTATCGCGCAGAGAAAAGAATAATCAGGAATGCGCTAAGCAACAGCAGTGCCTCGGGCGACATGCGCGCGGAACTCTGCCCCGACGTTGTTGGAGGGTAGGCCGTGTTGTTCAAGGAGGGAGCGGGCGGGGGAGGAACCACGAGGAGGGCGAGGGAGGGGGAGGGAGGCGGGGGGGGGGGGCGGCTGACAGGACTCACACTCCAACAGCTCCACGGCCGGCTCCACGGCGTCTGCGTCCTCGGCAGTCGCCCAGCCCATTGGACCGTCAGAGAGCGACTCGGGACGAACACAATCTGGCCCCGAGCGGAAGTGGTCGATGATGGGCCGATTTTCCTTCTCCCCTACAATAAGAAGGAGAGGGGGGAGGAGGATGAGGATGAGGATGAGGATGAGGATGGGGATGAGGATGAGGATGAGGATGAGGATGAGGATGAGGATGATGATGATGCTGATGATGATGATGATGATGATGATGATGATGATGATGGTGGTGATGATGATGATAATGATGATGATGGTGCTGGTGATGGTGATGGTGATGGTGGTGATGATGATGATGATGAGGAGGAGGAGGAAGACCTGCCCATCCCCCCTTATCCCCCCGTGCTACCACCTATGGAAGTGGAGGTGGAACATTGGCCCATCAGTCGAACCCCCTAGGGCCCACGTCACGAACAAGTGAGCGAAACAATAATAATAACAATAATCGAACGAGTAGTAATAATACTAGCAATAAGACTAATAATAATAATAATAGTACCAGTACTAGCATAAGAAGAATAGTCATAATAAGAAGAAGAGAACGGGTGCAATGACGCGGACATTCGCGCGTAAGGTCGCGCGTGAGCGCCCTCTTCTGCACGTAGTGTACCACGCTGGCGGCCCGCGCCAGCCGGTGCGTGAGGTCGCTATGTCTTCTTGCGTAAGACCCGTTTCTTGTCTCGGCGGCCACCCCAGGGGGGAAGTGGGAGGGAGTGGGTCTTCTCAGAAGGCGGCGGGGTTTCCGAGAAGCCCCGCCACCTTCTGAGAGGGCCTGCCCCCTCTCACTTCCCCCCTGGGCTCGCCGCCAGTCTTCGCCGGCTCAGACTGAGATGGAGGGGATAGCTGCGAGAGCTGCTGCTGCTGCTGCTGCTGCTGCTGCTGCTGCCTCCTCCACAGCGTGCGGCCTCCTGCAGCGCCAGGGGCCACCCCCCTCTCTATCCCCCCTTCAGCTCCTCCTCCCCCTCCTCCTCTCTCTCCTCCTCCTCTTTGCCCCGCTTCTCCTGCTCCTCTTCCTCCTCCTCCTCCTCGTCCTCCTCCTCCTCCTCCTCCTTCTTGCCCCTCTTCTCCCCCATCTTGCCCCTTGTCGTGCTCTCCTTGCCCTCTTCTTCCTCCTCCTCCTCCTCCTCCTCCTCCTCCTCCTCCTCCTCCCTCTCTTCCTGAACCTCCTCTTCCTCTCTCTCTCTCTCTCTTTTGTTCTCTCTATCTCTCTCTCTCTCTCTCTCCTCCCCCTCCTCGTCGCGAGGTCCGCCTCCCCCTACTCAGCCTCATGTTCCCTCCTCCTCCTCGTCTCTCCTCCTCCTCCTCCTTCTTCCCCTGTCCGTAGCCATTTTGGCTCAAGTTGCCATCTCTCGAGGTGGCGCAGGGCCAACAGCGCGCTCCAGGACTGGCCCGGCCCGCGTCTCAGGGGTCAGCCTGCGAGCATCTCTTTCTGCTTGTGAGCACCTGGCGGTGCCACACTCTGTACGCAACATTCTCTCTCAGAAGCAGTTTGACAGAACGGCCCGCCCTCCGCCATGGCGAAGGCCGCAGGGCCAGCGGCGTGGGTTCAGTGCGAGAAGTGTGGCCCACGCTCTTGGACTCCTATTGCTAGCGGCAAGCAGTGGTGTCATCTTTGCGGGCTCTACTATCACAAGGGTGATCAGCATCAACGTGGAGCCCGTCGCCGCAAGGGCGGTGGCAAGAGCGCAGGCGGCGGCATGGCCGCGGGCGGCGCAGGCGGCGCCGCAGGGCTCTCGAAGCAGCAGCTGGATGCCATCGCCAAGCAGGTCACCGCCATCGCAGCGGCCGCCAACTCAGCCCAGTCGCCAGCAGCAAGCAATCCTGCCGCGGGCGCTGCGCCTGGCCACGGGAAAGGTTCGCGTGGCACAGGCAAGGGCAAGGACACGGCAGCGCCCCCACCAGAGGCGCCCGCCACCAACGACAAAGACAAGAAGATCGAGCAGCTCGAACTTCTCGTCAGCACCTACCAGCAGATGGACGCCACCGTCATGCCCGATGTGGCCGCCAAGCTGCAGCAGGCCCGAGCGGACCTGGTGGACGCGCGCGCGGCGCAGGCAGCCAGCCTGCCGCCTGCGCAGCGCATGGCGCGCTGCCACACGCGCGTGCAGCGCGCGGCTGAGAAGGTTGAGAAGATCAAGCACCAGATTTCAGAGCTGGAGAAGACCAAGCAAGAGCTGCAGTTGCAGCTCGACGCTGCCAACCAGTCCATGGAAGAGCAGAAGAAGCGACTCGAGCAGGCCCAGGAGGACCAGCAGCGCGAGGAGCAGGACGCCAAGTCAGTCTGGGCAGACACTGCCCCCGATGAAGGACCTGGCTCGCTCGCGGAGTTCACCAAGGCATCCAAGGCCAAGATCGCGGAGGCCAAGACCAAGTTTGCAGGCAATGCAGACATCCTCAAATTTATCAACGACATGTCCAGCATGGTGGGGGCCCTGCCTGAGAAGGCAACACCGCAGCCCCAGCCATCTTCATCGATTACGGATACCCCGATGTTTGATTCCGAGTTTTCAAAGCCGAGATGGAATCCCTTGCCAAGCACCTGCCCAAGAAGGAGCTCGAAGCCCTGCAGAAGGCCCGTGCGACGCACCAGGACCAGCAGGCCGCAGCCGCGCGCCAGCTGGGCGGCCCGTCGAGCAAGGGAACTGGCAGCGGACGCGGCCACCGCCCGTATGGGTGACGGCTCCACTCCGAGTTCGAGGACAGCATCGACTGAGCGCTGTGCAACGGCGACATGCGGTGCCTCCCCGACTGAAGCCGACTGCCAGTCAGCTTCGCCTGCGGCCATACCAGCATCTGCCAGTGCTGGGAAGGCCTCCCCCACTTCCCTCCACTCCTCTTCTCCTGACAGCACCCGTTTCGAGTCTTTTAATGGGTCTTCTTGGGGCTCCCTCAAGAAGCGCCTCCTTGAGCTTGCGTGGGGACCCACCAAAGTTTTGTTTGCTCAGGAGGTGCACCTCGTGTCAGATTTAAGCATAGCCGAGGCCTCAGACTGGGCCATAAGGCACGGCTGGAAGAGTTTTTGGGCCCCGTCGGTTGCCACTACCTCTTTTGCCCCCTCAACGAACGGTTTAGGGGATGTAGGTTCGTCAGCTGGGGTCGCTATCTTCGTTGCCGACGATCTTGGGTGTTACACTCTGGAGGAACCCGTGGGGCCCCCTGGAGGTATTTTGGTGCCGCACCGAGTCATTGGAGTCGTTGTGGAGTTCCCCCAGACCTCGGGCATCCTCTGTCTTTCTTTGCATGGGCACGTGAGTCAAGGCCTCTCGCCAGACAATGCCACCATCCTCGAGGCTATCGCCGATCTGGTCAAGGTCTCGGGGCTGCAGTACATCATAGCAGGAGACTTCAATATTACTCAGGACCAGCTTGAGCATTCGGAGTTCTGCAATTATATAAAGGGTCAGCTCTTCGCGCCGGTTTGCTCGATGGGCACATGCACAGCCAGTTGTTCAGTCATAGATATGTTCATCGTCGAGCAGCAGCTTGCGATCGCTGTGCGAGACATAGACGTCGATTTCGACTGGGATGCTAGGCCGCATTTCCCAGTTGCGCTGGATCTGCCACCAGATTTTGGAGAGGTCAAGGTCCTTCAATTCCCCTCCATCCCCGCCCTCCCCTCCTCATTCGACAAGGATGAAGAGGATGAGGATATTGTGCATCCCAGCACCGTTTCTTGGAATAAAGTTTCAGATCGCGTAGGTAGTCTTATCTCTGCCATAGGTAACCGTCCCAAGGCAGTGTTGCGCGAAGGCTTCGCCTCGGCCTACGCGCACTGGGCCAACGCCGCCGAGCTCGAGCTAGCGCAGCGGACGGCCAGCAAGGTTCGCAAGTCGTCAGGCTTGAGAGCAAGAGCCCCCCAGCCAGTACTCAGAGCAGTCACCAAGAACGAGAAAGCTCACAAGCAGTACGGCCTCCTTCCCACTGCGCCGAGCTGGATTGCCACTCGCATGCACCGCCTCGCCTGTTACTTGGAGGAGGAGGAGGAATGGAATGTGGGGAAGGTGATTGGCAGAGAATCTAGGCCGGCAGTATTCGATCTAATTTCCCGTGTGGTGCGTGCCAAGCCGCAGCATGTGATGCAGCGCGAGTGCACGCGCATACTCCTCAAAGATATACAGCAGTATCTCAAGCCCCTGCACGCAGATGTCGAGGCCGAAGCTTTTTGTTGCGGCAAGATAGCCGCCACCGTCGCGCAGTTGCTCACTTTCAAGGCCAGGGCTGACGCATACGCTAAGAAGGTCCTCTCAGATGTGCGGTCAGCCAACGCCAGCTCTTGGAAGGAGTGGGTAGACACGGCCCTCGACAAGGGGGCCAAGGCCGCACACAAGTTCATTAAGGAGCGCACCAAATGGGAGCCCGACACGGTGGTCATCGAAGGTAAGCTCACGGCCTCCATACAGAGAGAGCACTCTGGATACCTACAAGGCCAAGTTCGCGAACTTTTGGGAGCCCGCTGTTGAGCCTCTCCACAGGGACAACGACCTCCATGAGCCCATCGGGATCCCCTCAGTGGAAGCCCTCAGGGACCTCTCCAAGAGTTACTCCAAGTCATCAGCCGTCTCCCTCGACGGGTTCCACATGAGGCACCTCAGTATGTTATCCGATGAGGCCTCGAGGCCTTCGCCAGACTCATCTACATATCCGAGGTTCTTGGGGAACTTCCAGGACAGCTCCAGTGGGTCCTCGTGGCGCTCCTCCGCAAAGTCACTGGCGGCTACAGGCCCATCGGTATCTTTCCCATGATGTACAGACTCACAGGCAAGCTGCGCTTGCATTTCGCGCAGGACTGGATCGCTAAGCACGACTACTCCTGGTTTGCCTGTGGCGCAGGCAGATCACCAGTCGACGTGGTATGGCGGCAGAGTCTCAGAGCTGAAGGGGCCGTCTCGGGCGGAGGGGCCCCTGCTGGTGTTCTCTGGGATATGGAAGCCTTCTTCGAACGCTTCAAGCGCAACAAATTGCGGGCTCGAGCGCTCGCTTTAGGTTTTCCTGAGACTCTGCTCGCCTATCACCTTGCAGGTTACGGCTCGTGGAGACACATAGCGTGGAAGCGCTGTGTGGCTCTGCCCATCGCTGCCACCAACGGCATAGTGGCGGGCTGTTCTTTCTGCATCCTTTATGTCAGGATCTATTGCTTTGATGCTTTCTTGCGAATAACATCGCTGCACTCGGCCGTCTATTTCGATTTCTATTTGGACGACCTGTCCATCACCTGTCACGGCACCGCGGTCAGAGTGCTCAAGCGTGCTGTCAGTGCCGCCAAGGAGCTTGCCCGTCTCATCGAGATAGACTTAGAGGCCAGGATAGCTGTTCACAAAGGAGCGGTCGTTGCGTCGTCGGTGTCGTTAGCCAGGCTTCTCACGTCGGCCCTCGGGGCCACGGGGGGCAAGCTCCAAGCGGTCGCCACTAACTTAGGTTGCGATTTTACGGCTGGTAAATCCTTCGGTTGTAACGGCGCAGCCGCCAAGCGCAAGGTCAGGCTCAGGACCGCTACGGTCAGGGGGCAACGCCTGCGTAAGCTCACCGCCACCGCTGGACAGAGATGTCGCAAGATTGTCACTACTGGTCTCCTCCCTGCTGGTGCTTTCGGGGCCGCCGTCGACGGTCTCAGTAACAAGTCTTTGTATCTGCTGCAGTCCCTGGAGATTGCGCAAATCACGCCTTGCTCCTCCAAGAAATCCAGGAGTGCGGCCTTCGCCGTCACGGGGTCCAGGGCCGACCGTTGGGCCTTAGGGCCCGTCCTCAGGTGGGCCCAGGAAGTGTGGCACACCACCCTCGGCAAATACGTGACCCCAGGGACCCTCGGCCTTCTTGAGCTCAAGCAGATATATAACAACGTGCAGCCAATAGGACACTTGTGTTATAACGCCGTGCGATGACCACTCAGTGCGGCAGCCCACGCGCTTCGCCGAATCGGCTGGAGTTTCACATCCGCTTTCACGCTGCAGGACCACTTCGGCAGGACGGTCAGGCTCGCTGACACCTCGCCGAGCCTGCTTGCCGACCTGCTGCACCGAGGATGCCAGATGAGGTGGGAAACACTAGCTGCTAAGAGCATACCCAGCCCAGCCCCCATGAAGAGAGTTTGTTTTGATGTGGTTCGTACCTTGCTTTCCCCCAAAAGCAAGAAGCTCCCCCCAGGTTTAAGGCCATTCTCCAAACTCTCGTGGTCCAGGGATGGTGGACTGAAGAAAAACTCGCTCAGCTAGGCTACGACGTGCCTAATGAGTGCCCGCTCTGTAAAGCCTTCGGGGACACCATACACCACCGTCTCTTTACTTGTCAGCATCCAGAGGTAGTTGCCCTCAGGACAGAGCTGCTGCCACCAGACGTGCTGCAGGCTGCGCTGGAGGCGCCAGAGAATAGCCCCCTGTACTGCTTCGGTCTCTTCGAGCACCCAGGGGAACAGCATGATGATTTTCCGCTGCCTAGAGAGGATCCTGTCGTTCGATTCGTCAGACACGACGGTCAGCCAGACACGGTACCACACTTTGGGGGGCTCACGGGAACCGACGGGTCGTGCACCAAGACAGGCATAGCGGAGTTAGACAGAGCGACGTTCTCGGTAGTGGCTTACAGTACCGACGGGGCCCCAGAGGCCTCCTTTTATGGCGCTGTCGCTGCGAACCTTCCCCAGACTTCACAGGCTGGGGAGCACATGGGCTTCCTGGTGCTCCAGGAGGCCCTCGCCAAACCCTCGAAGACTTGGGTGGACTGCAAAGCGGTCCTAGATCAGCATGCTAGGCCACTGCCGACGCGTCTCAGTAGTAAGCTCAAGTATTCAGGCCTGCACAAGCTTGCGCTTGCGCGGGACAGCAGACATCACCTCGAGACGGCCTCTAAGGTCAAGAGCCATCAGGATATAGAATCATTGGCTGGAGAGGCCAGACTTGCTGCGGAGATCAATGCTGCAGCAGACAAGACGGCGAAAGCGGCCGTTGACTGTCACCCAAGTTTCAACCCGACTGCGGTGCAGGAGTTGCAACGCAAGATCGAGGCCGCTCGAGCGATAGCTTTATATGCGCCCAGAGTTCTTGCCTTGTGCCAGCGCAACAGGCACAAGAGCGAGAGAGCCGCTCTGCCCTGTAAGGTTCAGGCCACTATCGTCGTCCACGACTGGGAGGTTCTGCAGGGGCCGATACCGTACAGGTGCAGAGCATGTTTTACGTACGCCCGATCGTATAAGGCCGCAGTCGCACGCGAGAGGCAGGCATGCCAACCTCTTGCCAGCGCCTTCCGACGCGGCCTAGAAGCTATTCACGCCAGCCATCAGATGGCGATTGCGCACTTTGCCACGCCTGTTGTGTTTTGCTTAGTCTGTGGGCGTTATGCCCAGTACGCTTTCAGAGGTTTGCCCGCCACTTGTCCTGGAAGGCCTCCCAAGAGTGGTGGACGAGCGAATGTGAGAAATCGTCTGTTGGATGGCAGGCATCCGAGATTTCGTCTTTTTGCTTCAGAGTCCGAGCGGTACAACACCGCAGAAATTCAAAGGCAGCAGCGCGCGCAGAGAGAGAAAGCAGCAGCGCGCTTTGCTATGCCGCTCCCGAGCCCGCCAGCCCCACCCCCTGTGCCTCGCCCACAGCGGCCCGAGGCCGGACGCTTGCGCCAGCTGCAACCCAGCCTGCGCCAAGAGGAGGATGAGGAACCGCTCATCCCTCCTGTGGGTTTCGGCGAGGACGATTCGGACTAGGCCCCCGTCCAAGCCCCCACCGCCATCTCGGTGGTGCTGCGAGCTTGTGAGGGGCCACCCGCCTGGCGGTCTCTGCCCTGGGTCCCCGCCACTCGGCACGCCCAGGCACCGTCAGGCCACCCCACCTGGAGGGTGACTGGCCCGAGCCGCGTGCGAATGGCCCGAGGTGCAACAAAAAAAAAACCTCCTTTTTCCCCTTCTCCTCCTCCTCCTCCTTCTCCTCCTCCTCCTCCTCCTCCTCCTCCTCCTCCTCCTCCCCTCTCCTCGCTCCTCCTCCTCCTGTCCTGTCTCTTCCCTCCTCCTCCTCCTCCTCCTCCTCCTCCTCCTCCTCCTCCTCCTCCTCCTCCTCCTCCTAATCCTCCTCCTCCCAATCCGTCCCCTCCTCCCCAGCCCCGTCTCCCCCCCCGTGCGTCCGCCCTGCAGGTGGCCACCATCCAGCGCACCCTGGACCCCATGGGCACCGAGAAGATCAAGTACGACCTCCGGCTCTACGGCAGCTGAGATGCAGATGTGGGCAGTGGAGGCGGAGTGCCCGCCTACCCCCCCCCCCCGCGGTGCGCGTGGGGGGTGGGGCGGTGCGGCTCCAGCACTGCGGCGCGGAACTTTTTGACTCTCGGCGCGGGCCGTGAGGAGGAGGAGGAGAAGGAGGAGGAGGAGGAGTAGGAGGAGGAGGAGGAGGAGGAGGAGGAGGAGGAGGAGGAGGAGGGGGAGGAGGGGAAAATGAGGAGGGGGAGGGAGGAGATCGGCACGGGATCGGCATGAGGAGTACGCAATCGTAACATTTGACTTGCTAGTGGCTATACACACACTCACGTAGGCACGTGCACATTAGCTCTAGCAATGGCTCGGTGGGCATCCCGCCAGTACAGGGCTTCCTGTATTTTCTTGGGCATGCCCTTAGGATGGGGCCACAAGCCCCGTGCAATTCGTCTAAGATTCTGCTTTCCTTTAGCAGTCTTATGGCCACACTCTCCAGCCAGAGTTCTAACCATGAGACTACTACAGCCCGCACAGGAGGAACATGAATAGAGATCGAATTTGTTTACATACAGGAGGGTGTGCGACGGGTGCAGTGCCTTCCCAGCCACACTGAGACCCGACGACGACGACGACGACGACCCTACCGCCCCCGAACGATGTTCGCACACCGCGCCAGCCTGTGCAAACTGCTTTGGCCTACACTCTGACTTGGCGAACCACTCCAGGTCCAAGGGCAAGGCTGCGCGTTCACAGATTCTGCAATGCCACCTCGCACACACCCGCTCAAGATGGCGGTGCGACGAGGCAGTCAGGACCGCTTGCTTGCACGCTCTCGGGTCCTTGGGCTCCTCCTCCGACTTGATGGGCCGAGATCCATGCAGTCCAACTTGGCACGGACCGCCCTGCGGCGCACGAGAAAAGCCTCCGCGCTGACCCAACCAACCTCGGGCTTGGCGGCGGCTTCACACAAGACCTCATAGGCAGCTTGGCCTGCAACAACGTCGGCGCATTCGTTTTCTGCAATCTTCCAGAGCTGGTACAGGGCCTCACCGCCTGAGAGCTCTTTGGCCGGATGACTGCGCAAGAGCACAACTTGAATTCTAGACTCACCCCTCTCACTCACGGCCGCCGGTATGGCGAGCTACAAGTCTGCGTTCCCGCCAGCCCGTCACCAGCGGCAGGTTATGCGTGTGATAGCGCAGGTCGCTCCTCGTGGCCCTCAGCGCCAGGAGAAAGGCCCACAGCTCCGCCCTCGGGACGGCCTGCTTGGGCCCAGACAGCCCCGCCACGATGCCCGCCACGAGCGTCGGGGCGTCGTTCTCGCATTCGGCGAGGGTGCACATGATGGCGACGCCGACCCCGCACTGTCGGAGCCTGGGGTCGCCGCTGTGCTCACCCCCCGAGCCGTCCCCGAAGACGTCGAGGAAGCCGCCGGACCGGCGCGGGAGCTCGACCTCGTGCCAGCAGCCCGCGTGGCGCACGAAGTCCGCGGCGCCCTCAGGGTACGCGTATTGCGTCCAGCTGGCGGGCGGCAGGCCTCGCAGCCACAGGCACGGCACCGCCTCGTGGCCCTCGACCGCCTTGTCCAGCAGGCGCTGCGTGGAGGCGTAGCCTTCGTGGCCCAGGTTGCACGGACATGTGAAGAATCTGTGCAGGAGCGTCTGTTGCCGTCCGCAGCGCGGGCACAGGCCTGCGCCGGCGAGGCCTCGCTCCTGCTGCCGCGCCCTCGTCCAGGAGGCGCCCGCCATGACCTGCAGCCTGCAGCGCCCAGGCGCGATGGTCACCGTCCCGCTGCAGTCGGGCCAGCTGCCTCTTGGCCTGGTGGAGGTCAGGCCCCCCCTCGAGTCCCCTCCCCGCGTCGTGCTGCGCCGCGCCGCGCCACCACGTGCGCTTGATGCTGGCCGCCACTTCCTCCAGGAACTCGGCATCGTCGATCTCGTCGGGTTCTTCGCTCATCCTACACAGTTCGTCGACGTCGGGTGCAACCCTTCCTGCCGTCATCAGCGTGCAGATGACCGCCGAGATGGCCCCCTTCGCCTTGGCCCATCTGCGCTCAGGCGGCATACCCTGCAGCTCCTTGTAGATGTTGGCCCAGGCTCTCTTGACCCGCCCGTGATGCTCAGGGTGCCGTCTCCAGAACTGCAGCCATTCCGCCACCAGTTGCCTTGGCAGCGCCAGCCCAGGGTCGTCGTCGCCCATCAACAGCGCCAAGGTTGTGGTCAGGCATCTTCCGAATCCTTTGCCCGCGATGGCTCTGCTGGCTTGCCTGCGCAGGCGCAACATGAGGTATGGCGCCGTGCCGAGGACCTGGTGCCAGTAGATCAGCGCGGGTTGGGCCCCGGGCGGTGCAGCTTCTGCGCGTGCGTGCCCATGCTAGCACGCCTGCGCAGCCGAAAGATGCCCCCGGCCCGCTTCGCCACGTTCTTGGCCCGCTTCTTGGCATGCGTCTAGTCCCTCCTCCGTCCAGCAGTGGTGGCGATCCCAAGGTCCACGGCCGTCTCCACCGCGCGCAGAGGGAAGCCCTGTCGGGCTGCCTCCTCCGCCACCTGCCTGGCCGCACAGTTCTGGGAGGAGACGACGACGGACTTGCCCGACAGGACCAGCTTCGCTTGCTTGCATTGCTCCGCGGAGATCTTGAGCGCGCCGCCCATGCTATCAATGTCCATCTGCTGCTTTCCCTTCGCGCGTGGTGTCGTCCACGAACGTGCTGGGGCCCACATGGGCGCCTGCACTGACGGCCTGCAGCGGCGGGTAGAGTAACAGCGTGCCAACCTTCACCCCCTGGTTGTTGCCCGCCACTATCGACCTCTCCGCGCTTGGAGGCCCACTCACCCACCAGTGCCTGCGCAGGCGGCGCCGCGCCAGGTAGGCCTGGGCCTTCAGGGAGATGACCGTGGCGGGGAAGGCCTCCTTCTCCGCCATCTCGAGTCGCAGGATGAGGTCGATGCCGTCGAAGAACTGCTCCAGGTCGAGCGGGGCCTCGATGGCGCAGAAGTTCATGGCAACCGCGCTCTCGTCCAGGATGGAGCGGCACAGGGCAGCCCTCAACACGCTGCTGCCCCTGATCGCCGCGTTCCAGTGCTGCTCCAGCGCATCGGATCAGGCGCCCGTGGCAGAGGCCCTCGATTTGGACCAGCACTTGATCAGCAGCGGCGAGATGCCGATCGTGCAGTCACCGCCCCTCAACTTCGGCAGCAAGGCCATGATGGTGGCGAGCACCTACCTCGGTCAAACCAGGGCGGTCTCGATCAGGTTCAGCATGTCCGCAAACTCCTGGATGGCCTCGTCTGGGAGGCGAGACATGTCGGAGCTGCGGAGGGCGTCCACGCCCATGGCCTTCTTGGCCGAGATGGTCTGCAGGGCCTCCCTGGTGTTCAGGACTCCATGCACCTCCAGCTCCTCCTCGCTCGCCCTACTGGTTGTCCTCGCCAACCAATCCCTCAGCTTGGCCTCGTCGAAGGTCGGAGAGCTCCAGACAGCATCCCAGCGATCCCCCCAAGATTCATCTGGTGCGTGGGGTGGGCGACTGTGGCTCCAGGCTGCACCGTCTCGAGAGGCACTGGCCCTTCCCCCTTGATCTGCTCATGCGCGAGGCCCTGCGCCGTCCTCCACGCGGTGGCTATCCACTTAGCATGCTGACGCCCCGCCTGCGCCTGCGCCCGACCAGCAACTCAGCACAGGGTTGGCGAAGTGAGCGCGCCCGGGCGCCGCCTTGGTCCTGCGCACCACATACTGCGCGCCATCCGCTCGCCACTCCGTCGGTCGCTAAGGCAATTTACTACAGGCTGCCCCCCCAAAAGGTCCATTGCCCTCCGTGTTGGTCTCACGCCTGCCCCCAGTATACGCGATAGCCGTAGGAGCCGCACTCGATGGACGCACGGTGGCCCTTTCACCAGGCGACGGCCCGACTTGTGATACAACTGCGCTGCCATTTGCCCATTCGTCGAGGTCTCTGTCGAGATCGCCGAAGGGGGTCCCCTCATGGTCGTACAGGCGGCCAGCTGCTCGCACCGGTGGGCCTCCGCCCGAGGGGGAGGGAGGAGGAGGAGGGAGGAGGAGGAGGAAGAGGAGGAGGAGGAGGAGGAGGAGGAGGAGGAGGAGGAGGAG